AGTTAATCAGCGAGATAACCGCAGACCAGCTATTAACTACCAACTTTTATCGGTAAAAGGTGGTTACTGATGACAATTCGATGAAATGTTTTCGATAAGATAGTTAGCATTAGTCTCTCCCTCGTCAGAAGGATTATGATAGCCTCTATCAGCATTCTCCGCTGCTGCCGTGACTAGATTCTACCCATTACTCTAGGCACCACAGTTCTAAGGTTATCAGTATGACTGGAAAGCTTTGACCTCATTGGCTCAGCAGGTTCAGAATGTTACCAGGGTGCTAAGATGAAAGGCTTATTAGAACCCATCAGCTCTTGCTCTGCTCGAAATCGAACTGAATTTCCTAGACGCCTCGATAATCAAAGGCGACTCAACCACCATTGATACGAGGATTCTAAGGTGAGGTTACAGTTTCAGTTACATTTTTGGAGGTGTCCGCTCGCCCTGGATGTTGTACTGGCGGTTACGAGCGTCGCGGCTGTCAGTCAATAGACACTTTTGATAGGGAGGCAGGCAACTGAATCGATTTTTTGCAATCGTTTCACCGCGCGCGGCAGTCGCGGACCAGTTGCCTCGCCATTGCAGTTGTAGCGCTCCTTCTACAGCTTGGCCATTATGCAATTATTACTTTTGGCATGATTCTACTATTACTTCTTTTGCTCTTGTATTTCTCACTACTTCATTCTGCACATGCCTCCGCGCGCGACGTCGCTCTCGACAATTTCGGTAAACTGCACCACACAGCGTTCGACATGCTACCATTTCCGGTCTATCTAGTCTTCATGACTCTGAGGATCTATGTCTTTACTATGATCTATTGTCATTCCAATTGACGTAGCCGTGTAGTGAGTGGGCGATAAGGGAAAACACTATGCATTCTATTATAGCAGCGGAGATTGCTGATAGAAGCTTATCGGGTGTTTTCTTGAGCGGAGAGAACTCACCCTTCAATACTTATGAAAACTGTCTTATCGGAAACATTTCGTCAGCTTGTTGTCCGCCATCGGCTTCCAGCAATAAGGGCTACAGTGAAGTAGTTGCTTCAGCCCTGACTAAATGGCTCGTCTATATCGGCTCAGAGGTGTTGCGTGTGCTCTACTGCTTAGTAGCTCAGTTGTAGCATTGCCTGAATAGTGAAACTAGTGCAGTTCATAGATGAACTTGATGGAAATGAAACAGTCATGTTATGTGCCGTTGCTGAGATGGACGACGCAGAGATATGCCTATGACACGTTCAGATAGACACCGGTAGATAGCCTTTCCAATCTATTTTTACCTTCTATCAGTTCGGAACAGAGGCGCCTTCGAGAAAAATGAACTCTGTTTACGAACTGAAGAGTCCTCTGCCCTTCCATGATTTTGCACAAAGTGTATGGCATGATGTATGGCAGCTCCAAAAATTCATGGGCCACCATTCTTCTTCCACTTATTGTCCTCGAATTTGACTATGAACCTGCTCAACAGCGAAATCCGTGACAAGCCTACGCAGCACGCATGCTAACTTCAGCGCAACATACGGTACCATTTTCATTGGTTATGAGGAATTTAGTCGAGGATTTTAGGTGAAAGTACATCTATGAGAATGTTGCGAACGCCGATAATCCATATATCTATCCTTACCAGTGTTACCTTTGCTCCCATCCTTTCCCATAGTGGAAATTTAGTAGCGTTAGGGAACATTCCTAACGATGATAGGCAAAGCAACCTAAACAGTTCCCCTTTTGTTGCTAGTGATTGTGGACGTTATCGGAAAGAGAAGACAGAATCTCGCTTCCTAAGTTAGTTCTGAATAGAAAACCACCCTTTTCATCCTATTTGTCGTGGCTTTCAATTCGGCGTCGCTGTTCCGTTTTTATTAACATCGGGCCCGAACACGAAAGTTCCCATGCTTTTTGCTATAAGTTGCCTTGTTTTTATTAACATCGGGCCCGAACACGAAAGTTCCCATGCTTTTTGCTATAAGTTGCCTTCGGGCTTTCGAACGAGGGAACCTAGTCGCATAGTTTTTTCCACATTTGTTTGCCCACTTGAGCCCGAAATGAATTCCATCGTCACGTCCGTCACGGAACTCGGAGACGTCATTAGATTATGGATTTCACCGGTCAGGTTTCGTGTCGTTCCATTACTGAGTCCCTTATAAAGCCCCATATAGAGTTCCCTTACCTTTTCCTTTGGACGTACGATGAGTAGCTAGGGTGGATAGATCATGTGGGTATAGGTTCGATGAGCGATGGTTGTTTTAATGATGGGGTAACGTACATGGCTACGTTTTACTAGTCTTCACTCAGTTGTCCCACTACAGCTAGTGGCTGATATAACTTTCCTACAACTCCTATTGTAAGAGTTATTTGGGGTCGACATTACCCCAAACGAATTCTGGCACAAGTGACATACGCCATGAAACTAACTCCCGATCTAATGAAAAGAAGGTTGCTCTCTTCATTTGCGCACCACAGTGATGCGTAGGTGTATGGGTAAAACTCGAACATTTCAAATTTTACGCCTTATACACACAGATAGCAAGATATTGTATCGAAAAAAAAACAGAACTAATTGCGTCAGTGAAAGGGGGTGAACACCGGTTTTATACTTGTCAAATGAAACACACTCTAACGTCATGCACAAGCTTCANTTATGCACTACCCTATAAAGCGAGATGAAATGGAAACAATAGAATGGACATGAAAAAAGGGCAGATGATTTCAACTTTACACGAATGAGGCGTTCGCATTAACAGTACACAGGATTGAGCTGCTGCGATGGGAACAAAATGAAAGTAAGTACAAGTAAAACGAATGCTATGTACATGATTAGAAATTGGCTTACAATTTGGCTGGCTTTTTACTTATCTACCAACGAAAGCTGTAGAATTCGCTCTAGTTCTTCCTCTTCTCTACGGGCCTCTTCTTGACGTCGTTGTTCTTCGTCACGAGAAAGGCGTAAAGCCAAAGCAATCGGATCTTCTTCCTGTAAAGCTAAGCAGTCAGAAGACTCCACGAGTAACTACTTTAAACAATTCCAGGTTGTGCAGGTTCGATCTGGTAGCGCTTATAGCGAAACTCGGCCATTATCACTTAGACCGACCGCTTGGGTAACAGCTGACTGTGGGCTCTTTTCGCTACAGTTGCCAAGCTGCGCGATCAATTGCAACTTATTACACACACACTTTTGAGCAAAACATACAAAACCTTCTACTCCCTACTCATTGGTGTACCCACCTCCTGTGGAATTTCGTTGATTGATTCTCCGGCCATTCTTAGACTTTCATTGATTGCTAGAGCAATTTGTCGTTGTTCCTCGGCTTCTTCATCGTATAATGGCAAGGTATCTTGAGGGAGTAGTTGGTCTTAAAATGATTGCAGTTACACTGAATATTTGAGAAAAAAGTTTTTTAATCACAAAGCCAATACCTCAGAAATATTATTGGAATAGAGAAAAAATAATGAAAGAATTTGTAATATGTGCTTACTTATGGGGACGTAACCACTCTGGGAAGCATCAAGGCCACCTTGTGAACTATTTTGGCGGAAGCTTTCTTGTATAGCAAGTTGTAAGAGCATTTCTTCTTGTTGCTGCATGGATGGATGATCTGAAAGAACAATTATTTTTTACCGTTTGAATAACGGTAAAGGAAGAAAAATTGGTGAAAAGGACATACATATAGAGGCTGCACCACCCTGTAAACTCGACATGTCTTGTTCGTCTTCTGGCCACCATAGACTTGCACTAAGATCATCAACTGTTCTATATGAAGGCGGTATGGTGAATACTTCGTCATCTATGGCGACAGTCGCTACTTTGAATCCAGACTAGAAACGAAAGCCATCATGGGTGAAAATATGATTGAAAGACACTCCTCTCTCACCAAGGTCTCCAGTGGTGTGACGAATGGTCCGGGCTCATTTATTTGTCCGAAGGTGATCTTTGCACTTACTACGTGGAACAGTGGGATGTCTTAATGATTAACTTCAGTTAAAAAGTATTTTGAAATTCATGATGAACTGATGAGCTCATGATCGGTACAGAAAAAGTACTACGAAAACCGGTGCGCTCGGGTATTTGTTAGAATGTACTCCAAGGAACAGCTTCAGATCCGTAGCTTCAGGTCAAAGCACTACCGTCTCCCGACATTCATACGGGAGTATAATTAAGACGGGATCGTATTTAAGTGCCAGGAGGGATTAACAGCTTCAGGTAGGTTAGGAGTACACTGACTGTGGCACAGGGTCCAATCCGCGCTTGCGCAGTATAGTGGTCGGCTAGTGACATCTAGGCAGAAAGGGGAAACCAGTTTTGGAAAAAAAGGTCTAGAAGAAATTTCAAAATGAAATAATATATGGGATACATAGTTGAATCTTAACAAAAGTATTTTGTAATAGCTGCTTGTGAAAACATACGAAGAAACTGTTACTGTCAATTTCAAAAGCAAAGAAAGCAAATCAAACAGAACAGAACAGAATTAAAATAACTAAATGCCCACCAACCGATCCTAACGGGAAAGCCGGCAGGAAGTTGCATTCTTATAAAGTTGTGCAAGCGAGCAAAATGAGCGCTATTTGCAGCCATCAAGTCTACTATAGGCATCACTTGTTCCTAAAAAAAATCATCCTGAAACCTTTACTTCAATTCGATTCAATGTATTTAACAAACCTGGAATGAGAGCGGGTAGTTTTCAGCTAACCATAAAGTAGCTTTAAAATTATTGGACTTTTTGGTAACTTTCTTAGGTCGGCCTGAATATGATGATTTATTTTCGTCACATGAATTGAATATTTTTTNTTTTTTCTCAACTCACCAATATCACCATCCAATGGGAAATCTTTATCCAGATATTCATATACTGTTAAACCCGTGTCCAGGAGGTTTTCGGTTGTTGATTCTTCACTCGTTTCCGATCTAACAATTGTGCTCAGTAGATTTGTCAATAGATTTGAATTATCCTCCTTAAAAAGAACGGATATGGATGAGGAGGACTTTGGCAAGTTGAGCAATGTAAAAGCATGGATAAACAAATCAGTGGTAAAATGGTAAGTAAAATAGATAATAAGCCTTATATCCTTATAGTACACTATAAATAAGCGCAATTAAAGTCCCAACATTACTAAGAGTAGATGAAATGAAAGCCCAATGCGTACCTGTCTTGCACGCGCTGAATCTTCTTCTGATAGGTGTTCCTTGCGAGTTTTGGTGACCAGGTTCACGTTTGACGCATTAAACACCTGAAGAGCTACTTTGCGTTGAAAACATAATCACTAGTCTGCTTTTGTTTACTTTTACAGCGGTTTTTTCTCATGAATAGCCGGAAACTGGGTTCTGTATGAAGAAAGCCCGGTCGAGTTGAACATAAGTGGGGTTGGTAGGAACTGGGTAATCACCTGCCTTTACCCTAATGATTATACAGTGAGGAATCCTTATAAATTATAAATTAACTCATACCTTGCACTCGTATTCATCTATAGTCTCCGTCTTTTCTGTATTGCTTATCCAACCGAGTAAACCTCCACGATATGAGCGTTCGAAACCAATCTTGTCGACATCAATGAACGTCGTCGATATAGGTGATGTCATTCTTAATTGAATTGCTAACCAATCATTTGAATATCAAAAGGAAGAGCTCATTGAAGCATTTTTATTTCCCAGCAAAACATACCGCATATCCACGGCTTCCTGTGTCGGTGTGAACTCCTCCAGCGTTTCATTATCGTGGAGAATTTGCCTAGTTGCCTGAGAAATGACGCAATGTAGGTATTAAAATTTGTAAGAAGTTATTTTTAATGAGGAGAGACTGAACGATACGTATCTTCTACAAAACTTCAAGCGAGAAAGTATGCTTTCTGGCGTTTGGGAGTTTTAGGGTCTCCCCTTTCTTTTCGCATAAAAGATCCTCAATTCATTGGACTGAATCATTCCACAGCAAAAAAGACTTACCGTTTTTGTGTCATGATCGATGATGATGAATTCTGGTAAGGAATGTTCATCCAGTCGGAAAATATACGTTTGATTTCCTCTTTTCCAACTGGAAGCTTCAAATCCCACTAACGTCGTGTCTATCCGTACTTTAGAGCCCTGCTTGTATATCTGTAAGTGCAAATCTCATTGAGCAGATTATACAAGATCCAAAACAAAAAAAAACATCCAAAAAATGACCTTGTAAGTATCAGACGGGCACATTCGACTTATAAACGGTACCCAACTTGCAAATTCCCAGCCCATTTCGCAGTAAAAATCAGGGGAATTCTAAAAGAGAACTTCCTGAGAACTGGCGTTCAATCAATAAGCATGGAAAAAGGTGTATAATAAGGAGTAATACAAAAAGGAACCTCCAATGTAGTTAAGCAGTCCTTCATACTGTTAGCACCTCGAACACTTCTTTGGTAATCACGATACATTATAACATTTTTGACCAATTCGGGATCACCAAATGAAATGGCTTCGTGGCTTACTGACCACATTCCTAGAAGAAACTAACATAGCAAATAAAATAGGTATTCTAAGAATTAACTATTCAAATACCTTTATTTTGGGCGTCCGCGTTCGCTCCCTTTTTCAGAAGTTCAAATGCACACTGCTTGTGGCCCATAGTTACAGCAAGCATCAATGGTGTTCTGGAAATTTTCAGGATCTTATAAGATGAATTCGAAGACAAGGTCCTAACGCCGAGGTCTAATCGATCGCCCATTTCAAAATTGGCCGCGCCGCGACCGCGCGCGTCACAATATGTTGCGCACGCGCCTCGTCAAGCAAATACTTCGTACTTACAAAAAAAAAAACAAAAAGGGAAATACAGAAGCACTCGCCTTCCACGACAATCTAGCTTCTCCAATTGATCTGGTTCAGTTTCATCTAGTGCCTTCTTTAGTTCTTCGACGTCATTGAGATATACGAATCGGTGAAGAGGAAATTCCGAGTCCAGTTGATGAGCCATTGCTACACAGCGGCTCAAAAACCTCTGAAATGGCATTACAGTGAAGAACTTGGACAAGCTCGTTGACTATCATGGGAACGGCGGTTAGGGAAAGTTCCAGTACGAAGGGTGAGTCACTCTCGGATGTAAATATTTGGCACCGTTTTACGAGTAGAAAATATATTAAGTAAGTACGAAATAAAAAACGAACAAAAACGGAAGAATAGCTGGCAGAGAAATATATTTTGAAGAACATTTGAATGGGATGTAAGGAAGCAAAAACTTTTGGATAATTCTGGGGCACTTTGACGCCGGACTGGTTAGCATACGCTATGTTATGCTCCGCAGAATATTGATAGGGTTTTGAACTGTGAACGGGCCATATGAATACAGAAATGCAAGGATTGCCTTGATAAAAAGAAATTTGAAATGAACAAGAATGCGCAGGCACTGTATTGCGTCTGTCATGCAAAAAATACCTATTGATTGATGACAATGTCAGAAGTTCATGTATAACAGGTTGTATAACAAGTGCTGAGAGCGCACAGTCGACAATAAAAACTTCATTGACAAGGTCCGCCCAACTGTATGCCGGTGATACCTGCGCCGCTGAACGAAGACGGTGAGAGTATGAGGGAACTTGGGGAAAAGTTTGAAGTTTGCATAGGACGATGGGTTATACGGTAACAAAAAGCACGATGGGGACCATAAAGTTATGAATAAGGCAAAGTGGGAATAACAAGTCGATCGCTATCTGAGAAATGCTTACGAGCACTTTTCGCCAGTACTGTGCGCTTTCCGCGAGCGAGCTTTCGTAATGGTTGATGAAACGGTAAAGAAAAGGGTCTCTGAAGGAACCTCTTAAAGGAGCTGCACGGAAATAGACCTCCCTAATAATAGTGTCAGTAGCATTGGACTGAACAGACTGAAAATAAACCGAACATCTCCCACCATCGATCTTTTTCATTCATCGTAACGTGGTTTGAACAAACACCTGACATACCACATTGTTGTCTCGTTTAATGCGAATATCTGCAAAAGTTCAATGCCCCTGAAGCTTCGCAGGAGAGAATTATAGGCTATCATACATATCACTCAGAATTACCACTTTCTAGAACTTGCCAGTCTCAAAACTGCCAAGTGTGCCGAGAAAATCAGACAGGTGAGGGGGTAAAATGGCAGCCATCGCCACAAATTGTTGAAGTGATAATATTAATGCGAACTTTTCAAGTTCAAGAAAACGTGATATGCAACAGTGGAAAATTGAATCGTCCAAAACAAGCACAGAAAGGGTGTAATGGTCGTCCTTGCAAAAAGAAACACTTCGCAAAGAAACATGCAAAACCAGGGCCAGTCGGGCCCGACAGCGAGTGTACGTGTACTGTAGGTCAGCGACACAAGCTGTGCGTATAGTCAGACGTGGCTCACTCACAACTACAAATAAATAGCACATCAGTTTTTATCGAATCACCTTCGTCCAAGTAAAACCAAACTTCACACTCTTCACTATGATGTTTGGTGAAATTAAAAGATTATCCCGATAGAAAGAGTTACAGCCTTTAATTGACCCTACCTGGCGGACTCAAGTTTCTTTTATGGCATCTGGCTTGAGCTACATAGGGAAATTCGGAATCGTAAGTCATTTTAACTGCTCCAAACAGCTCATGCAAATTCTCGAATGACATCACCAGCTCTATGGCTCCGTGCCAGCACAATCCGTACAGGACCGGCAACTGCTGGCATGGCGCCAGCCACGATCGATAGCTGGTTGCGATGCCCCGGCTCTCAGCGAAAACACGTGCCAGGCCGTCATTCACTCTCACTCTCTGCCGCTCTGTATCTCGCCTTCTACAGCACGTCCTCCTCGGCTTTACGTACTGCGTCTCTGGTTAGCACATACTCACCGACGCACGTCTCGTCGTCTGCGTCTCTGGCTCGCTTCGCTATGTCGTGTCTGGCCTCAGCGGCTGACCTCCGCCGTTTGCATTCTCTCTCCGGCACCGTCTGCGCGGCGGTCGCATCCTTCCTCCCTTTATTTCTCCTCTTCACTTACATTTCCAAATCCACAATTTCCATTCATTGATGATGTAGACTGATCGGACTTTGGTTGATTAACGGCTTGACAAGAATTCAAGGCTGAAATGGTGATGATCCCATCAAAATCGCTCCGCAATGTGTGGTCTCATCGTCGGCCTGGACTTGATTTCGTGTCGATGTGTTTTAACTAAGATAATTCCACCAAAGTTAAAATATCTGTTAAATTAGTGTTCACGGTGGCTAAAATGTTCACTCAGTAGTTCAGCACAACTTAAATGGTGTGTAAAAGTTGTGACTCGATGACACTTTTGATGGAGTGGTTTTATAGCAAACGTCGTGCAATCTTTGCAGATTGTCTGTTATCGTAGTGAGACCGACTTAGTGCAGTCATCCAACCTTTCCACTAAACCGTTGCAAACTTTGTTTTCTCGGAACACAGGAAATTTCCAGAAAGTTGGGAGTATTCCCACCAGGTCGAGTGAATGGCTTTTCTGCCGTCCTTTGTCGTTAACCAAACGTCGTGGAAGATTTGGGTACCATCACATGAAGTAGATTCGAAAGGGCTCCTAGATATCGCTGAATTATGCTTTTGTTCAAAAATAAGTATTTTNTTTTAACCTTCAACTTGTAATCTTTGCTCTAATATGAGCCTTGAATCCATGTGATCTCACAAAAATATGTTTTTGTTAATCTTTACATAGAGCAATGTAGAAAATCTACACCATTAGGAGGAATCGCGATGTAAGCAAAAGGGCATGGGTACTTATCGATCGTGAAGTTTGGGAAATCGATCGATAAGCATCTAATCTTACTCGTGTGCTCGCCGCGGCTGAGTAGCGAACAGTGCCCGAAACATGAAAGGAGATGGACGTTCAGTGAATGGGTGAAGCATATAGTTCAAAGGACGAGTGGGTGTATGGTATTTGATGGTCCTATTATGAAAATGAATTTTGGCCAGTTCAAACTGGTAAATCTACAAAGTAGCCTCGGGCTTCACTCGTACGCCGACGTTTTTCCTGCGTATGCTATGCTAGCCGTTCTTCACGTCAGATTAGCTGCATGTTCAACGTTGCCTTTTTCAAGGCGGGTGTAAACCCATTTTAGCGAGTTTTAAGGTATTCNNNTATGCTCTCTGGTGCTCATCGCGTTTGTGATGGACAACGAAAAACGCATCATGGAGCATTTCATTGCATCTTTATTTTCAGGTGCTTATTGAATTTTTGTGGTTGTACGGAAGCGCTCGTCGTTACTGCGACTGAATCTGCTTCGTGCGGCTTTTCTGGCAGTTACGAAGTAATCGAGTGGTGGGTTTTTTCGAAGGTATCGAAAGATGGTTGTTCTGTTGAAATTGAGTGGGTGGAGAAGGCTTCAGTATGATAACGAACTGTTTCTCCGTATTTGCATAATGGATTCAAAGTGTTTGGTTCAACTTACGGCAATGTTTATGGCGCAACGCAATGCAAGCGCTTCGTGAGGAGTTTTCCCATGGGGTTGTGTGAATGATTTCCGTACATGGGAAACTCCTGATGAAAAGAAGCGAGTCCAAAGAGCCTTGTTTTTGTTTCGTTTCCTCATAATAAAAATCAACCATAAACCTCAAAGTATGGATACTTTGCGGATTTGCAGCCCTCGCCTTCGGCGGTTCTGCCCGTATTAGTCCCGTTGCTAGGAAATTGTAGCAGCTTAATGAAAAAGCATCCTCATGTAAAACTCTCAATAGCTAAGAAAGAAGAGAGTTATGAACATGACGTAGAACATTTCATTTATTTAAGACTTTAATAAGCGGCAACAGTAATGCTGAAGGGACGATTTTGAGTATACTCCACAGCATTGCTGAATCGACAAAAATAGCCTCTACCATCATTACGCATTAAGGGCCGAAACCTGTTAGTGTTTAAGCTTTACCTCACTTCGCAGTATGACTGAGAATTACTTTTGTTCGATCATTTTGGTGGCAGCAATGTAGCCAGTAGTCCTGTGGTCTTGCATTTGACAGCGTGTTTTCTATTTTTAGCAGATGAAGCTGCCCTCGGTTTTCACTCAGTGCGCACACACATTTTCTAATTTTTAATAGCAGGAAGTGAGGGAACCATTTGCTCGTTAGGTTATTGAGATGTTTTAAAAACGAGTTGTGGTTAATTTGCAGAAACTGTAGATTCCTCGAGTTTTGCGATAGCATTTTGGAGGAATACTGTTCAAATGGATATGAATGGGATGTTGGGGTGAGGATATGTTTACCCGACTCAACTTTCAGGGTGGCCTGGCGGAATGAGTTTGTCACTTTGTCAGTTCAGGTTTCAAAGACCTCACATCGATTGTTTAAGCTTGAAAGTTGGATCTCTGATTCACTTCTACCCTTTCAGTTTGCAAAAATCTTTTTGTGGAATACACCATAGCTTTGATTGTCTGCTATGTTGTACCTGGACAAGCAGCGGGGAAGGTTCAGTTTTTGTGGCTTGTTCGGAGTGCAGAGTACTCTGAAAGGTGTTTTGGACCTTTGATTTTGATTTTTAGTACTTTGGTATAGCCGGCGTCTAAATTCCGATTTTTTAAGAGGGATCGAGCTGTTTGGCAATTGAGTTTTACGAAACAAATTTTGCCATCTTCTTTAGTAGAATGAGTGTTGAGTGTACTTTCTCCAAGCGATATTAACCATGTGTGTTGTGAGAGCTACTAGCCATCGAATTTTCGCTTCGATCATTAGTCTTGCTGATAGTCATCTTGCAGTTAGAGACGACGTTAGCACACTTTACTAGGGCGGGTTCCCTTATAATGAAAAAGGATGATTAATTGTGTTGAGAAAACGGCTTCGCTGTAAAAGCCTGTTTCTACAGCAGTTTGTAGTGTAGCTGTGAAGCGTTAGATCCTGTGACGTTTTTTTTTTCATGCCCATAACTGTGCAAAGGAGAACGGTTTTATACCAGAATTGCTTTTATTATTATTATTCCAGAGCAAGGGTGTATTTAATTGACTCTTTTATGGAGGGTGCATTTAACAGACTCTTTTATCTGGTGTTAGGATGTTTCATATTTGACGAAGTTAAATTAGTTTACATCCGTATAACTTGGGCAGTTTTTACGTCTCTTTGGTCTCAGTGAAGTGGATGTATCTTAAATTTTTTGGAATTATTGTTGAATTTAAAATGCCTTTTAAATCTGTAGTTTGGTGTAAGGTTAGAAGAAGCATAAATAGTGATATATCAAGAAGAATAACTGATTCAAAAAATTGATTGGTTTGGGTTTTTAGCGCAAATACTGAAATCAGAGTTGACTAGAGAGAATCGTTTTCTTTGGTATAAGCTCATTTAATGATAAGATAGTATTAAGTGAGGGCTGGACTGGATCATTCGTGTGGCCTTTTGTTATTTGGATACTACCGTCGTGGAGAAGGGAATTACGAAAGCTTTGTTTAGATTACAAGCAACCGTGGAGTTTGGTGTTTCTTACTCTGGCATGTCAATGCGGGACATTGGCAAACCTCCGGTTCGTGGCAAAACATCGCCTTATGGCTTTTTTGTAAAGATGTGCTATGAAGAGCACAAAAAGAAGTACCCAAATGAGAATGTTCAAGTGACAGAAATATCAAAGAAGTGCAGTGAAAAGTGGAAGGTAGGACACATGAGTTCTCAGTTATAGTTTACCTTGAAAATTTTGTACGCTTTAGACTATGTCCGATGATGAAAAAAGACGCTTCTACGAGCTGGCTCAGAAGGATGCGGAACGGTATCAAGCCGAGGTTTGTCATTTTATTAACTTGATTTTTAGATAGGGTGGTATTATATATGTTGCCATCATTACCTTCGTGAAATCTAATTAAATTTTGATTGAAAAAGTTGTAAAAGTGTTGACGGATGGTTCTATTCTTCTTAAGGCTGAAGGCTTTGCGAGGCCGTGGATTGTATTGGAGCCGATTGGGGTTATTCATTAGAGTTGCGTATCACACGCTATTGCGCAACCCCCCAGTCTTTGAGATCGCAAAGTAACTCGCACAGGATGGGATTCAGCTACAAATTTCACTAGTAGTGCAGTAGCTCTGGCTCTAACTAATCTTCTCCCTACGTTTTTCCAATATTTGCATGAGTGGATTTTCTATTTCTTTTCATTAGTAGTTACTTTTTCAATTTCTTTGCTGAATAAGAAGCCCCAAACACTGCTTGTCTCGTATAAATGGAGATGATGTAAAATTAGATGTCAAGATGCATCAGTTCGGAAAGAATCTGACCGTGTTTTTTTTAAATCGGTTTCGAATTTCTTTTCTTTCGCTTGTTGGGGAGATTACAGCTGTTGCACAGGTCTGCACAGGTCACACGGTTTTTCTGAGGGTTGTTGTAAAAGTTTGTCTTTTCTTATCCTAATCTCTAAAGTATGGTAATTCTCGCTTAATAGGATTCTTAGTCCTATTGTGAATTCATATGAGCTCGAAATATGTAGCCGCAGTTGTAACTTTAGAAATTCGTAGGTATCAATTAGTGCAATCTGGCTTTCGGTATTATCAAATCGACCTTTCCTTCAGGTTTTTATAATTTAATACAATTTTGTTTGAATAGTGCTGATTGAAACTGCACCTTAAAGAGTTGTTTTGAGGTGGCAGCGTACGGTGGAGAAGACGCCATGCGAAAACGAAAGCGTGCAAAGAAAGATCCTAATGCGCCAAAACGTGCCCTGTAAGTGTTTTAAAGGAATTTGCAAAGAGGTGTCATTTACAGTATTTTCTCGTAGGTCCGCCTTTTTCTTCTTTTCCCAGGATAGAAGACCTGAGGTGCAGCAAATGCACCCAGAGTGGAAAGTCGGACAGGTACTGCTTTCATTCTTTCAGTATAGCTCGTCACATTTTAATGACTACGATCATCTTCCTTTTATGAAATCTTCTTACTTATAAGTTTTGAGTAAATGTGTGGATGTGTGGAGATACGGGAGACGGCATACTTACGAGGTTTAGGTGACGAGTGAAATGAGAAAAGCTGTAATTGTAGTCTGAAATTAATCATAGTAGCTTTTGCGAGAAATGCTAAGTTGCCATTTTCATTATGAATGAGCAAAGGAAACAGGTCAAGATTTGTAATGTTGCTGGCTTTGTGTTCTTTTCGAAGAATGAATCTTGGGAGTAACAGGTAGCACTACTGGGGTCAAATACCCGGCTTGAAATGAAATTTGCTCATGAATGTTTGTACCGAATATTTTACTCTGTTTAGGTTGCGCAGGAATTAGGGCGAATGTGGAAGAACGTGTCTATGGACGAAAAAGATATGTATGAAAGAAAAGCCCTGGCAGACAAGGAAAGATATGCTGAGGTATAGTTTCCACTATTATTTCTGCATCCACTATTATTTCCTTACCTTTTGGGGTTTTAGGGCTGGTAAGTTTATATAGATATATGAGCGGCGCTGAATAGACAAAAACTGTGACTTTGAGTAATTCATTAGTATGAGCTTTGTTCGCTTAATCATTCAACCTTAGCCTACTTCTTCGGCTTCGTTTCCATTTTTTCATTGTTACCCCTAACCGTTAAGGAGCAATGCTTTATTTTATCTTTTCAACCCAGCGCGGTTTCTGTCTGATAAATTGCTCTGGCAAGCACCCGAGATAATGTAGCCCCTTTTATATCTCACTTATTGTCAGTTCTGACTACTTTAAGAGTAGCTTATAATCCATATCACTAGACTCCGCTAGGGCTTGTGGTAAGGTAAGTGACATCTCCATTTGCCGGATTCGGTTTCTCGATTTATATTAGGAAGGAAAAAAGTTGCAGTAGATTGAAAATAACCTTTATTATTCGTCGCTGCGCTCCACTTCTAAAGAGTTTTTGCAGGAGATGCGCGATTATAAAACGGCTATAACGAAGATTCCCGGTTTGGAGCACTTAGAGGAAGAACATCACATGCATTTGGTTCACGTCGACGAGCACGATCTACAGCAAGGCCAAATCGTCTGAGAGTCAACTGTTGGGTTGTGTTGGGGTGGATGGCTTTCTATTCGGGGTTTTGCTGTTTTTTGTGCTCTGTTTTGTCACAATGTCACAATCGTTTCCTCTCCCCCAAAATTATTCATTCAATTTATAATTGTTTGATATTTTGCAATGATGACGGCGTCCTTTGCTTGAAGTGCTGCTTCAATCTGAACCATGAACAACCACATCAGGTCACGTTGCAGCATTTTTATCTTCGTCGTAAATTGAGTTGAACCCTTCGTTAGCAGAGGTTGAGCTTATCAGAGCAGAATAATTCTTGAATGCCTGTAGCGCTGCACTTCGTTCCGTTATTCAATAGTATATATGTTTCTCCTTGTTCCATCGTTCATTATTCTCTATTTCTCAAAATATTCCTGGAGTACTCGTTATGTTTCCAAAATCGTAGCTTCTTAAAAATGTCTAGTGTAAAATTACACATATCGTAGTTAAAATGAAAAGTTGATTGTATTCCCATATGTCATGCGCTAAAATACTGTACAGTTGCCTATAAATTGTCTTGTTGTTGTGTACTACTTGATGATCGTTACAGGAATTCCGACCAAAATAAAGGTTGCCGATATAGATTAGTAGGTTACCGTAACGTATTTATTTTCATTTTTATTTGTAATCGAATAGCACACCAAAATCGTTTATTTCTGATTCTGGTTATATGGATTTTCGAAAAGTGTCGCACTGAGCTTCGGTTCTCGTTTACCATAATTAAACCGTACGAATTGTAATGTTGACGATGGATAGTCGAATGGCTGGAAATGCTGAAATTGACCATGTACGATCCAATAGGAATGATCCCATAAGTAGTTGCGTAGATTGAGGTTGGTTATTGATTTTACGCTCATGTATATCGTATGGCTAGGGATACCTAATGACATTTGGACAACTTACCCCATTGTAGCGCCCTCTCCTTCGTCGAAATCGTTGGCATATGTAGCATTGTAGTATACAGCACAAGAATAGGACTACGAGAAATGCGGTAAGGACCGTGAGGTACTGTAGAATGTGTTCACTTCCATCTCTGAATAAGAAAAATGTAGTAAAATTATTCAGTTAGTACTTAACTATCCTAAAGTAAAGTATCGCTCTTTGGACTTTTTATGGTAAGATGGCGAGCGCTCGCCTTTAGATTTTTGCGCCCCAATAGTATGAGGGCTAGATTTGGTTACAACACCGTAGGGATACTGCCGGAAATTCAAGCTGTTTTTCCAAGGGAAAGTTCTCTCAAATAACCGAATGCTGCATCGATCTTGTTGCTAACTATCGAATACATACNCCCCCCCCCCCCCCCCCCCCCCCTTCCCTTGGTATTTGCCCCATCTACCCTAATCTCAGATTTCCGAAACATGGGCCCCATATTCATCAACTGCGTAGTCTCCCTACTTCTAATAGAAGAGAGAGAAGATGCGATTTCTTCGCCAGCTTTTCTCCCCTTGAGCCCGAATAAATGTATTTTTTAAAGGGAGAGTGTGAAAGAATGACAGAGAGGAGACTTGTAGTTCGCCGTGTTCTTCATAATACTAAATGAAGGGTGAGACCACCAATTGCTTTTCATTTCACTTCGCCCTTGTGGTTTACTCATCGTTGCCGTAATTTTACGACATCCTTAGCAGCCATTTTTTATGTATCCCAGGATCGAGTAAAACAGTTGGCGTATGCGTAACAATCGAGCAGTTTTTTGCATGAGAACTAGCACGAACAGAAAGCATAGATGATTCATTATTTGGCCCTCTGAACCATCCACAAAGTACAGAATTTCTGTGATTCATCAGGTTTCGGAATTTCAAGGGAATCAAATCACATCAGTATGATAAGTGCAAGAGTGGAGGTATTGCAGCCGCTACTGATCAGCACTTGAAATATGCGGCACGTATCCCCAATCGCAACAATTGTGAAGACAATGATTCAGGTATTTGGAGTGTAACTTTATTTACAAATATGGACCAGTTGTATCCGTCTTTATTAGTAAAGGGGACCGGTTAGAGGGGGCAATTGACACACTATAAAGAGAACTATCAGTTTTTCAGTTTTTGGTCTGTTTTAGGAAGCCCGAATAAGCTGGAGCTTACCGGTTCATTTTGATTCTAATGCAACTTTATAATCGCGTTAACTATCTTCAAACATTGAGCACAGAAATGAATAAAATTGATCACACAATTCAGCAAGTCGTGGGATCAAACCAGTCTAAGCTGGGAAGGGGTGAACAACTAGCTCTGTCTAGACTGCTTTGTTTAGCGTTGGTCACAAGAATGAAGTACTGGCATTAACCATTCCTGCTTTGGGAAGAGTCTAGTAGCATTTAAGATTCGTAGACATGAAACATTGACTTAAGGGGGTTCCGTTGCAAGAATAGTTTTCATGGCCATTTATGTATTGAGACGACTTCTGACTTCTCCCTACCTCCTGATGCACCTCTCACACCCCTACCTTTCGCGTTGCAAAAGGGTAAATCACAGTTTTCAATTATCTTTTGCTTAGAGCAACTTGGTTTGTCAGCCCGTGCACATCAAAGTGCTCTAGAATTTTAACGAAAAGTCAAGTGTATGGCGAGTTGAGGGGTTTGATTAAAGACAAACTTTCTCTAAACTACACAAGCCTTTGATGTATACCCCTTCTATGTGACCTTGTTTTCAAGTAATCCCTAAGCATTGAAATGACCATGGTGGCGGTTTGTAACTGGTAGATAGGCATTCGTGACAGTTGTCCACCATCCATGTAGGTTAAGTAATTAAATGCAAAGTTCCGTCATAAATGGTTTCTGAATTTCCCGCTTTGAATGAACCTGTGATGCCCAAAGACAGCGTGAGGTACGTCGTCGGATCGAAAACGGTCGAGTTAGGGTGTAGGGAGGACCTTAAAATCGGCTTGGTCGATGTGCACAGCCAAGGCGTACGAGTGCTTAAGCGTTTTATCAGTTTAGAGGTTGCGCCATTCGCACCAGGGCCCACAGCTTGCACGCGAGCAGCTTGTTGCAGCCAGCTAAATGTAATGGCGCGCACATTTAAACAGCTTTTCCAAATAAACCTTCCGTGCAGCTTTTGTCGACGCATTGTCGCCCAACCCTAAATTTACCACTTTTTTAGGGCCTACTACTTCTGAATACGCAGTTTTTAGCTATTCTTCGCCTCTATTGCGTTACACTGGTTCATTACTTCCAGTACTCGTTTACAACTAGATAAAGGATGAAGTTTTTGGCGTTAATCAATCCCGTCTGAGGGATGCGCCCTCACACTCGACTTCCATTCAGAATCGTAGTGGTGTAATGAGTGCGTATGTGACCTATACAATGACTTGCGGTGGCCAGCTGATGTATAAGTCAGTGCTTTTATCCTTCCAGACGAGCTTAATACCAATTAACCGACCCTGGAGGGATGAAGGGCTTGGTTGGCCTAGGCGGGCACCGAACCAGGATTTGAACCTATGACCGTACTTGTGAGATAGTGCGCCACTTGCCCCTGCACTACCTCCTCCCCTACAACTAGATACTTAAAATAATCGTGAACTGTGCCCTCCACCTCCACCCATCTATCCACCCCCAAACCCTTAATTGACCTCGTTGGAACGTAGTCCTTTTCTTTTTCATATGATATAGCTTAAGTGGCGTACGCCATGTGAGTAAATCGATCTTTACCACCTGATAAGCTTTGTAATGGAAGACGAACGTCAAATGCGTGGCGCAGTTTGCAGTGGTTTGCGATATTATCTTTTTTGTCAGTGATTTCGCTCAGATGGCTCCAAAAGTGTATTTTGGGAATGGAATTAGTAATTGGAGATGGCAGCGAGAAAGGCAACAGATGGTTTTTCCTAGTGACAAGTGCAGCCAGGCAGACATAAGAGATAATTTCTTTGGTATGTTGCGAAATACTTATTTTAATATTTTCCATTTTTTTNTTACATCTGAAATGCATGTAGAAACGGATAGAGTGGATTTAGGAAATTTCCCAGTGGCACCCCTTAGAGGAGCGGGCACCACAACCACGAAATGTTTATTCGCTTAGTGACTATCTATGAGTTAATTTCGCGATTCTTTTTAAGTGGTAGAACCGGTTCGATTGAATTAAGGCTGAAGTTTCGGAAGATGGTTGCCATTTTGAGATTAATGGGTATAGTATTCGGAAGAAAAGGATCATTCATAAATATTAAGTCTGCAACCCAGTAACGGCATATATTTTGGAAAAACTTCATTACCTTGTTCCTACGAGAACAAGTATTCATTTAGTGTTTCATTGGACATCAAATATTCAGGTAATTGATCTATACGTATAGATTACTTTGAGAAACAGGTGGTCATCCTTCGAGACGATTTTTTGAGGTATTTATGGTTAGAAATATAAGCGGTCACTTAGTTGCCAAACTAATATTTACTGAATGGTGACCAGCTATTTTACTCTTGATGGCATTGTCTGCCCTTAGGATACCTTGCGATAAACATTAATCATCGTTTAATGTGGTAGTTATTAGTTAAATGTGAATACGAAAAATCTATAGCGAACACAGAGAAAGAACAGAAAAAACTTACGACTGGAAGAACATCTGGTGAATGAAGTGTGTCGTTGTAAAATCCTAATGGACCGCTGGGTGTGAGGCGCTCAGAGCGAGCAGAAATCAGTTTAAATGAAGTGCTGCCAGTGGTAGTAGTGGTGTTCGCTCGGACAAGATGATGGCGCCCTTGCTGGACAGTGTGGTAGACGTAGACGAGTCAACAGCACGCCTGATATAGTTTATCTAATGATGTGAGCGAGTTCGTTTTTTTTCAAACACCTGAGTGCGAATCGATAGGCTATCATTCATTGCCCCCTGCTGAACGGCTAGCCACGGGTGGGGGGAGAGGGGGTGAGAAAGGGTGAAGCGGGTAGGTAGCACAAGGTCAGCGGTGTTTGCCAGCAATTTCTCTCCGGTAATCACCTTTTTATTGCCATTAAATTGCCTTGGAAGATGGGTGGCCGCTGCAGGGGAATCATTTCGATGATAAGGTGTGAGTCAGTAGTGGACAGTTCAAAAAATGTGTGGGCTCATATTATTTCGAGGCCGGTTACGGTATCATACGGTACATGTTGTCTGTGAAAGATTGATTCTAACAGCGGGATCTAGGTGGGCACTCCTAAGCGACGAAATAAGAACATTGAATGAGTCAGAAAATCGGTGAAATAGATACGCAAATGGTGTAAAGTTGTAAAAGTGCTAGTGACCTTCAAAGGAATAGAAACTCGATAAATTTGCTGGTAAACTAGTAAACTTTACTCTTTAAAGAAAGGAGGAAAGTGAAAGTAGAACACTAATGAAATGACAGAAACTCTCGCCCCGTGATTTGATACACAACGGCATTTGCCGGTATTCGATTACAGTGATAAGTAAACCAGTCTGACTTTTTTATTTGATTTTTTCATACAGATCAATTTCATTTCTACCAGGAGTTTGTAAATTACTTTGCATTGTTATACCATGCACTTACCCAAGTGGAGAGTGGAGAGGGTAATAGAACGGAGTAGATAGAGTGGCTATCCTGCGACTTTAGAAGGGTATTTCGTTGAGCGGCGGTAACATGACCCCCTCTTAAACTCGTTCTTTTCGTTCATTTGCTCGTTCAATGACGTTTTTTGGAAAGGCCCCCTTACCGTTTCTACTTGATGCATTTGCACGGACAACGCAAAAAGTCGGTGTAAAAGTATGAAGTAAGTTTCTCCCCTCCTTTTTACCATCTATGCCGTGCTGCACCATCTGTTNCTTCAAACTTATGCGACTTGAGCATGACATTGTTCTCCTTGACCTACGAATTTAATTTATAATTTTTTTCCAAAAAATGCAGAGGCCGAGTCCGTGTAGTACCAAGGACGCACACTACTACACCCATGGCCACGGGTTCGTTCGAACCTCAGGTCGATATCCGCCTAGAACAAAGCTTTCCATCCCTCTGGGGTGGTTAATTGATACCAGACTCGTTTAGAAGGATAAAAGCACCGACTCTTACATCGACTGGCCACAGCAAGTCATTGTATAGGCCACATACGACTCACATCGCCACTACGATTCCGAATGGAAGTCGAAAGTGGGGGCGCATCCCGAAGAAACGAGAATGATTGATGCCGAAGGGTTTATCCTCTTTCTCAATAAAAGCTGAAGGAGTCCACTGTGTGGGGCTATGATCGAACCTAGTAGTAAGTTCAATGTCATTATTTATTTTTATAAAAAAAAGGTTAAGTAATGTAGTTAAAGCAGTCGTTAGTAGGTTAAGAGCTGGTCAAGAATTGAACTAATAAGCCCGACGACGAGCAGACAAGAATGGCGCATTGTAGCGTTGGGCTACACATGTCGTTTTGCACTTCGTGTGGCCGTTGGCGACTGTGCACGCAGTGTCCCTTAACGACTGTGAGAAAATAAAAAAAAAGGAGCAAACGCAACTTGGAAGGGAATTAATTACGGCAGAGTGCATGGAAAGCTCTTCAGTTGCACTTTCTTAATCGAGATTTCTCCTGAAAGGAAAAGTCTTTCAGAATTTTCTAGGGACAGCCGTCTAAGCATTATGTGCTCGATTGATTGGCTAATCGGTGAGTGGTCCTAAGCACCTATACTTATGCACTAATTATGATCCATTAGTGGTTTATTTAGTTTAATTTAATTGTTTGCTTTTATTTTTTGTTTTTGTTTTTTTTTTGTTTATTCAAGTTGAATTCTTTATTACGTCTACTACGTCAAAAAATCGCTTCCGGAACTCATCGAATAAAATCTTTTTCGAATGAAAACCAGATAGTTGCCAACGGTGTTCCGATGGCAAAGGTGCAGGTTACGAATTCAGAACTCAAGATTGCTATGATAGTAGTTTCAATGAAGCTAGGAGAGCTTTTTGCCCTACCATGATGGACACTCATTTTGAAAGGCAGGCATTGAAACTCTGGCTTGTTTTTGAGCGAGTTCTAATGAAAATTTGAGCGTAATATCGGGTGATTAATTCTCAGCAGCACAAAAAACATAAATCGTAATGGTGATGACTCATTGCATATTCATGGCCGCTGCGCTCCTTTTTTCGTTTTTGGTAAGATTGAACTGGAGATATGGTCGAGATATCCTTACTGAGTTCGAATTTTTTGAGGTTATTTTTTTTNNTTTTTTTTTGTGGTCGCCATAGTGATGAGAATTCAACTGAATAAGAGATTCGCTCCTGGATCGTAATGAATATGAAAAAAGAAGTTTGAATCAGCAGAACGGAGGAATAGTGTTTGATGACTAGTTATGCCTAGGGTAGGGTTACTTTCATGTGTAACTAGTCGAACCGCAACATAGTATGTACTACTATCGGTCTATCGGTTTTCGATTGTCGGCTGAAAACCGGTGTTTATACCGAGTGATTAATTGACCACCATTTGTCAACTTCAGAATATCACAGTCTGTGATTCCTTCATATGACTCTTGTTTGACGGATTCGATCTTATCTTCGAGAGAAAATTTGCTGGGAATAGAGTCCGGAAAGTCGAGTGAGAACGCACGATGTTGAACATCCTTTTTGCTTTCCCGTTTCAGTGTATATGCACCATGAGTCACTGTAACCTATGGAATTCGGATCCCTTCTAATGCTATTCATATTGAAAACGGATTCTAATAAGGTTAGTTGATGGGAAGATGGCAAAGAGGGTGTGGTATTGTCATTCTGTGCCATCACCTGGTAATAGTGATGAGTGACATCTTTATTCTTCGCTGTTATAACAGCTTCGAAAGCCTTTCTTTTCTGGAGTTGTAAGAAGTTGGTCAACAGCGGCGTGTTATTTATCCACCTTTTTTCAAATAACCGTGATATCTGTACCTGTTTTCTACTTTTTAGATGCTATTCTGTTAATGGTGTTTACATTTTTTTCAAGTTTGTGCCATTTCACTCTTATTCATGACCCCTAATTGAACCTGATAGCAGAAGAAAATTCTTAATCGTACTGCGACCATCTGTAAGTTTTACTTGCATAACCAGTTTTCATTTTTATTTCCTGATTTTTGTTTTTTTTTATTAAGCAACGAGAGCAAATCGCGTGGATTGTAGCCTATCGGCACACTCGTAAGTTTTCAATTGAAGGCTCTCGCGTTAGTTTTCTCATTTGATGTGAATCCTTTACTCGGTGGTTTTACGCTCGGTTTACTGTCGCTGAACTTTTTTTATCATCTTTGCTTACATTTTCTCGAGTTTTTTGTTCACCAAGAAGTATCTCACGTCATGTGAACATTAACTTTTTCTGTGATTTGCACTTAAGCTTCATGCGAAGCGGCCGTTTTGACTACGCGCTCTGCCACTTGCGGTAACTGCGATGTCGAGCCAAAATGATGTACGATGATTTCGAGCTAAAGTTTGCGTAGAGAGACTATGAATTCATAATACTTGCTGTGCGCTACTTCGTACCTTTTGAGGATCAAAACTAGATCAATGACTCGATGCGTTTTTCGAGTATTGAGCACTCTATTAAACCACTATCCTCGTTATGCGGTGTGTTGGCGTGTTGGTTCCTACCAGTCGCCTGCAGCCCCTATAATCCTTTAATCCGAGCAGGTTCCGATATTTTGCGATCGATATGGTCTTTTGTTACTCAAACTACTGGGGAATTATTTGTTGTGTTGCTTCTCAGCTTTTCACCGTTTTTATACAGATATATGCGTAAAGATGCCCATTACTTCATTAAGTGTGTTGAATCTGTCAAGAGTCAGGTATTGTCAAGGGCCTTGGGTGCAAGTGCCTTGGTGGGCAAGCCACATCCAAACCAAAAATGTTGTCAAATGCGGTAATCGTTCCTGAAGGAAGCTATTCATTCAGTGAGTGCCTTGTCCAGTGCGTTATTCTAGTAGTATTTTTCTTGTTTTTCTTGTCCACGTTAATCTATTTATGTGATCAATAGCTCTCTAGAACTTCTATGGAAACAGTGATCACCCAATTTTTTTTCGTTTCCTTGTTGAGATTTTGCCAGTGTGCTCTTGCATCTTTAACTTGCTGCGATGTTTGCTATTCTTGGCCATTCACAGTATTGATTTAGCATTCAGACTCGATCAATCGCTTATGTGGGTCTAGTGCTATTAGCTGATAAAAGCGAGCCATGGGTATTACTATTATTTTCCTTTCATACACCGAATCTGTTGCTTTCCTTTTTTTTATTTTTTTATGTCGATTCTATCACGGTTTACTTAACTGTGGCTAAAGCTTTTGTCTTTGAGTAGGGTTCGATTTATTATCGTAAATTTTGGTTTTTAAAGCGCACTCTCATGCCGCGGCCAAATCGTATATTTCGCTGTCATCATATTTAGATTTCGATCCTGCAGTTCTTATTTTCAGGAGAAGAAGGGCTTCTTTCAATGTCATCGGTCTCTTCGGATGTTTCCGGTCTTGCTGATATTTCATTTCGTAAGGAGAGTATCTGTGAAGAACCGTCACCAGTTGATCTAGAGGTCAATGAAGCGATTGCCCTTCATCGTTCCAAAGAGCCTCGCTGCACAAGGTTGTTTTTTCGTTGCAATGTTTACATTGATTGCCTAGGCTTTAGGCTTTTTTCCTCTTTTTTTTGCTGTGGATGTTGTGGCCCTTGTTTCCTTTTTTTTTTGTTCTGGACGTTGCAGCTATAGTGATGTAGCTTTTTAGGGTGGGAGAAATTGTAGCTGGCATCACTCATTGCAAAAGTCGCCTGAAAGAATGCATGTCAGAGACGAATTCTCCAAGGAAACAAATGTATCTTGACAAGATTGTCCAGCTAAGTCTTGAAAAGCAGACATTGGAGGTGAGTGTTGTCGTTTATGTTATTGAAAACGAAAGAGTACGGCATAGTACGAATCATTGTGGATTTTTTTGAATATTGGTGTTGTGTTCCCTGCCCTTCTAGATTTTCGTCTGGCATGTTTGGGATTAGTTGAACGTCAGACGGAAACTTTTAGAGTACTCCACTTTATGCCATGTAGGCAGTTATATCCCTTAGGCTATTGAATGCGGTTAATAGCCCCTGCAGTCCATGTAGAAGTCGAATTTATGGCAAACCTCCAAAAGAGATAAATCAGCACAAAGCTTTTCTTTTTCTTCAATTTGCGATTGTCCCGATTTTCGAACTTTTTTTTCTACTCTTCTTCGATTTTTCCTTTTCTATGAGAGTTTTGTATCCTAACAAAATGTATCCCCGTTCTCTATTCTGAAATATCCATCTTAAAAAAGCTTCCAAGGAGAATGGTAATAATGGCGAAGATTCTGTGGTCAAGATGCTCGGTCATGAATTCACCTTACAACGTAGCTCTGGTCGTCGAAATCCCTATTGTGAAGTATGCATGAGTACAATATGGCGAATGGTTCAGTCGTGGCGGCGTTGTAAAGGTAAAATGTCTAGTTTCGTTGTCAAATTTTCAGTCTTTTAGCTGAGGCTGCTTTTACGCTCTTCCCTATCCGTTGAATTTCTGTAGCCTGTGGTATGCGGGCACATGACAAGTGCGCAACGGAAGTCCATCGTGTATGTGCCGGTGTTGTCGCTTCACGTCGAGATTTTCGGCTGGCAATGGCGATTTGTGAAGAAAGAGGCCTTTGTGCACAAGACTATGCTTGTGCTGAATGTGAGACTCCGCTGGCTTACGGTAGGTACTGATTTTTACTTTTAATTCTTTTATTTGTCGGTTTCCATTATATTTTCAGTGGATTGAGGTGGAATATTTTATAAAGTAGTGTGCTAACGGCAGTAGGAATAACAATTCAATGGTTTCAGAAGGTCCTACCAATATGCAGCCTCGCCTGTGTGAATATACTGGAATGCTGTTTTGCTCGAATTGCCATTGGGGTGATACGTGGTCAATACCGGCCAGGTTGGTTAATCCTATCGTAATGGGATCCTCATTTCGGAGTTATTTGTCTTTCAAGAATAATTCACAATATGGACGCAAGACCGCGCCCAGTTTGTCGAGCCGCTAAGCAGCTGCTGGCTATTGTGGATAATCGACCCTTAATCGACTTGTCTGAAGCCCACTCTTCTTTAGCAAAGTATCACAAGGTACGTCTGAGTTATTGCAGCCGGGTGCAGATTTTTTGCGAATTTCCCGTAGACTTTCAGTAACGTTTAGGAATTGCGCAGAATACAGCAGCTACGACGGAATTTTTTATTGATGAAGTGCTACTTTGTCAGTTGTAGGGTGAGTTTTTCCTAACAATTGTTCCTTTTTCTTAAAATTTCCTTTATTATCCTTCTGTTTTTTTTCCTTCGTCAAGACAATTTATTTCTTTTTATTTCCCTGTTCCTGAGCTTCAGCTGCGAGTTTTTAAAATTAAATCTATGCGATACTGATGCATGAGATTGATTTTACTTCCGGGAGTTTCGACTTGTTGTGTTGCACATGCATTTCTTGAGAAGGAATAAAAAAATCTTCTTGCGCATATTAGTACAACTTGTCGCTGCTATTTTTTACTTGCTTATTTGATTTCAGAATGCTGCAAAGTTGCGTATACTACAGTATCTGAATCGTCATCAGCATTATGTAGAGGGCGCTGATATGTACTCACTGGCAGACGTGAGAATTCAATGTGTTTTCCTTACCGCTTTACTCGTTTCGCTACTTATTCGGTTTCCTGTTTAGCTGCGAGAATTGTGCCTTGGAACGTTGTTACGTGACCTAGAAGATATACATACAGTGTTTCGAAAACATATTGAAGAGGTAATCCGTGAGATAGTGGATTTTTGTTTCTAATTTTCTGACTTTGCTGATTTATTGTATCCTCAGGAATGCGAGATATGCGCAGGGAATGGCTTCTATTGTGAGCTATGCGAGGACCAAGAACAGAGAGATCAGGTGGGTTGATTGCCTTGAATAAGAGGTTCTCATGAGTTTGCTATTTTCTTCTTTGAGACGTACTATATTATGATGTAGTTGTGTGAGTAAAGAGTGTTGGATTTCATTGCAATTATGATCCATTATCATAGGTGTATATTGTCATAACTGAGTTCATTGGGTTTTAGCAGATAGGAAAGAAGCATTAGGGCCAGATAATTATCTGAAGGTACAGAATGATCGTAAAAACGACTGGCTAAGGTCCCGAACCAGAATTGTTATAGAAAGGGATGGGCGATTGTGAAGGATGGAGCGATTTTTGCTAGGCTATTCATATCTAAGTAAGCTTTCGGGCAACCAAATATATCATCTTTGTTTAAATATTTCATGGAGATGACCACTTTTTGTCCCCACTGGCTTTCGAACTCGGCAGAAAAAACTTGATCATAGAAATCAAAGGCAGCTTCTGAAGTTGTTGGTGACAACTTTTACTAACAACTAGTGTTCGAGTTACTGATTAAAACTAGAAGATAAGTCTATTACCAGCGGCCCTATCCCAGCGCTGCCACCGGCTTTGTTCAGTTTTTTTTTTTCAAAAACATGGCATGTAAATGTAGCGTTTTTTTCGGTTTTTTCAAGACTCGGTTGAAGTGTGGATATCATAAAAGAGATGAAAGAATTCGAGTTTTAGTATTTCTGGTATTCTGATTTCTTTGTCTGTTTCCAGCTACTCTTCCCGTTTTCGGAGAATGTGGCAATGTGTCCGAAATGTCTAGCTGTTTTTCATTCAAAATGTTATGAAAAGCGTAGTTCTCATTGTACAAGGTATGCCTTTGGCTTTTACTCATTCGATTCAAAATTCTTAAATATTCCATGTTTTGTAATGATTTTTTTCTGATTTTGGCTAGGTCAGTGACGTATTTTATTTCTAGTTCTAGTAAACATACCACAACAGTTATTTCTTTAGATGTGAGAGGAGACGAAAGCGTGCCGATTCTGTGAAAGACGACTAATTTTTAAATATAACAGCTCTTTATATTGCTTGTAGATCCAGATTATTATTAATAATTAGTTGTTGCTCACGCTCCTAATAACTTCTTGTATCCTCAATTTTTCAAAGCCTATTTATCATTTTTATTTGTCTTAATATTTGCCTACATTTCTTTTGTCTGCCTTTACAAGACTAGATTCACTGATTCATAGACATTTCGGGTTATTTATTTGTTCGTTCAAGATTTAGCAGGCCTTGTTTCACTGTTTAAAGAAAATTTCGATTTTGCTGCTGTTCAATACAGTTTTCTTCGAAGAGATACTTATGATTGATAAAGTTTGGAAATTTTGTCAACTTAATCTTTTGGCAGCTGTGAATACCTAATCAGGTTGCTACCGCTTGAAGGAACGGTGATGGAGCTGATAGAGTCTTTTTTATAGTGTTTCACTACCTGAGTAATGTTTCTAGCAATGCAGAAGAGACCAGAAATGTGTCAAATTCATTTGGGAACGGGCGAATGTAGGTTTGCGCATCCCTGGCTTCCAAGTGTGTTTATTTTTTTTTCGCCATTTCACAAAAACTGTGGAAATGTGTTTTTTTGTGGAGATTTCGATTGTAAGGCGATTTTTATCTTTATTTGGGACGTTATTGCTCTTCATTCTTACAGAAATGTTGAATATAGCGGCGTGTTATGTATGTAGCATAGTGTGCAGCGGGTTTGCACGAGCTATTTTGTGTTATTACAATTAAATGTTTTCTTAGAGGAGTTTCCTTTGCGCAGCAAGGTTACAAAAACATAATGGATGCCTTTTGAGATTTTTGATGACATGTTTATGGGTTTAAACCGATCCAAAAATAGATTTCCGTCTGCAGGTTTCGTGGTACAGTAATAACACGCACTTGCACCAAGAGGTCTAGGAGAATACATCATTAAACGGCTTCTCAAAAGAGGCCTGTGGACCAATGAGAAATGCCGGCTGCTAAATATGTCGTGCCAGGCCAGAGGCAATCCAGGTTTACTACGGTTTGCCCATGGCCTGGGACGGAATGCCTGTTAGAGACCAAACGTATTCTTCGCAGACATCAAAAAGGACTGGTGAAGGGATGGATACCTCTCGATGGTTTGTAATTTAAATTGTTTCCTCAGAAAGGTCCATTAAAATGATTTTGTGATCGCTTTCGGCCTTTTCCATTGCACTTTCTTTGTTTCGAATTTCTGTGTGAGAAAGTGAAGAGAAGTGTGAAAAAAACCAAGTTTTTCAGAGAGCATATCTTTCAAGCGTACTTTTTTTCCAGTTCGAAGGTGAAATGTGTAAAATAGCTTGCTGGAAAGTTGCGCCGATGTTCCACCGCATATAGCTCTATTATCCCAAATGTGAGTTATAAAAAAAGTTATGTATGAAGATTTATGGTTTACTGATTAATTTGAAATTGACCATCTTTCAACCAATCATATCTGAAGTCTTTTTTGAATCTATCAAGTTTTTGAAGTTGATCTTTGGAAAGGGCAAGTAGCTATAAAAATGAATAACATCAATCTAGAGTCATCCCCCCCCCTAACCGTTCTCATTTTTGTTTTTATAGCTTACTTATTTTGGAGATTTTCGCACGCTATGGTGCTGCTTATGGTGCTTATTTTGCAGTTTTTATTTATTTGTTATTATCTGCTTACCTGTTTGCATGTTTTTGTTTTTGTTTCGTATTTATGTCTCGCAACATTTCCTTGATTGAATATGAAACAACGAAGTCAAACAAACAGCAGTGTAAACAAAAACAGCACGCCATAGATCCGTTAGTAAATGAACGACTGGAGCCCAGCTGATGCGTTCTCTCACTTCTATTCATTTCAAACACTCTCTGACCAATAGCTTTGGCGTCGCCATTCGGCTACAGGTCATTCTGTCACATCACAGTTCTCTGGTCATTGTCTAAATCTCGCAGAAACTTTCTTTGTATCGATTTCTATAACANTTTTTTTCGTTCATTTTCCTTCTTTCTTACAATTAGGCGGGTAAAGGCATTTTTTTGGGTTATCTGTTTTTTTTTGTTTTGGATTTTATTTATGTTGTTTCATACAAATTATTGCTTGTATTTCATTTGATATGGCACGGCCAGTGAAATTTACTTGTCTCTTTTGACCTCAATTTTCGATTTTTGGTATTCTTTCTTTAATATTGCTTCAATGTATGTTGTATATGGGCTGAAATTTGTAGAAGAGCATAGATTGATCCTCTAAGTATGAGTGCCGCACCTGTTTTGAGTGAAAGAACATTTTTTGTCCGTGAAGAGTCCAGTCCTGGTGCACATGTGTTAGACGCCTTCATCAAGCCCAATTTATGCAATATTCGTGCTCAGCATGATTAACTATTGTTGGAGGGGGTTTCTAGCCAAATCCACGTCTTGTGCGAAATTCGCAACAAATTGGAAAATCTAGTTGTGAGGACAAAAAGGCCCATAAATTTCTCTATGAATACCGTGTGCGACGCATTAGATTTACTACTTTGTTTTTTATTCACTGTTCTGGTTTTTGTTTTTCTTTTTTATATTCGTGATCCTTTGTGTTTACAATTTCCCTAATCGTCGATATCGAAGTGGTGGTTTACTTCAGTCTGCGTTAGATNTGCGAAATTCGCAACAAATTGGAAAATCTAGTTGTGAGGACAAAAAGGCCCATAAATTTCTCTATGAATACCGTGTGCGACGCTTTAGATTTACTACTTTGTTTTTTGTTCACTGTTCTGGTTTTTGTTTCTTTTTGTTATTAGCATTCCTTTGTGGTTACAATTTCCCTAGCCGTCGATATCGAAGTGGTGGTTTACTTCAGTCTGAGTTAGATTTGTTGAGTTTCGAGATTGCAAGACGTGAAAGTTTCTGATCACGAGCGCTTTTGGTTCCTGCTCTTATCAAAGGTAAAGTAGTGTCGATAACTAACTTCTAATTACTGTATATTTGAGCATGTAGGGATATAGATGTTCAGCTTTAGGGGGCAAGAGCTGGTTTCCGGAGCCCGCTCTTTGCCTTAGTTTTATTATGATTTCCTGGAATGGGTCACATGCATATATTCAATGTTAGGGTCGGTATGCCCATCGTTTTCAGTAGTAAGAGTTTTTCACCAATATTGAGCGGGAGTTGATCTCAACCTCGAGCACGTTGCTGTAATTTGACCTTCTCGTCGTCCTCGTTCATGTTGCAATAGAGCTGTATTCATTTTTCGAAACACTGCGTGTTCTCTCATCTCATTTGCAATACCTGAGGTCACATGTTGTTCAACAATTAGTCCATTTCTGGATTACGCCATGCCGTAGACGCATTACCGACAGTGCTGGGTGGTTTGACGGCACCTATGCGTGTAGTGACTAACAGAGATTAGCCCTTGGCAATGAGTTTCACTTTCCCGCTTCCTATACAAAACGTCCTTCATATTTTCTATAAAGCTGGCGAATTTAGTTGTGAAATACTGTTGTTGTTTGTGGTGGTGGTGGTGGTGTTGTTGTTGTTGTATAAAGTGGAATGCGTGAAGGTGTAGTGACAAGTGGCTCACCGCTACACATGGAGTTACAGTTCAAATCCCGGAGTTCGCGGTACCCACCCAGACCAACGAAGCCTTCCACCATTGCGAGGTCACTTGGTCAGCGAATGTGCGCCATAGTCGTCTGGGAAGATGAAAATACTGACTTGTTCATCGGCTGCAGGCCATTGCATAGATCAGGTACCCATTCAATCGCCACCACGATTTGAATTGAAGTCAAATGCGGGGTGCATCTCACGGACAGGATTGATCATCGCTAGAAGTCTTTCTACTTATCCGAATCTCAATATTGAGTCCGATGGAACCCAAGCTTTTGTTTAGCAAGTGTTTTCGTCATCAAATGGGGGTCACATGAGAAAGGGAGGAGTAATGTCAGTTCATGGGCGACAGGGAGTAGGCAGTGTGTTGGAACCCGTTTCGATCCATGTAAATGGTCAGTACACCGTCATCAATCTTCTTTCTCATCGTACGTGATGACACTAACGTCGACACGTTGCGAATCACTTCGTT